ATACAAGCATTTTCTGGAGAAACATTTTTCAATGACATAGAGAATGTCATTTAAAATGTTGTAACATTTTTTCAACAGTCAAAACTTGGAAAGAGAGAAAGTAGATTAGAAAGTTTCTCTCTCCTATGGTGAATGATGCACTGTTATTAAGGATGATTATACTTGATTCTAAAAAGCTCATTGATTGGTCTATCATTACAAGTAAGGTTTCTTTACAAGTAAGGTAGCTCTCCTTTTAATCAATTCCTTTCTTCCCCACCTTCCTCACAAACTGCGTTTCATCATGAATAATTCTTTGAAAAATATTGTTGCTAAAGAGGTTCAATTGCTAGAAACCAAAAAGGAAGTGAGTTATGTTTCAAAGAAGGTTGTGTCCAATATTGAAACATATGTCGTAACATCCATCAGAGTATCTAGGACAGGAAAGAAATATGTAACAAAGATGAAGTCCCTAAAGAATAATCATGTTCAGTTACATGATTCAAACTCAGATGCTGATAAAGATTGGGTAAATTTCATTGACTCAGGAGGAAGAATTAGATAGTTGTTGTTTGCAATACATATACACACAAAAGTGTGGTTCTCTTAGTTTTTATTGCATCTATTTGGTTTCAGTAGAGTCATTTGTTTCCATTTGTTGTGTTTTCATCAATTTTTGTTTGTTTCCTTAGATTTGGTTCATTTTTTTCTTTTTGTTTTGATAGTTAAGTTTGGTTGAGTCTCTTAGTTTAGTTTCAACTTTGTTTGTGTTTTCAGTTTCTGTTTTTATTTACTCTATGTTTTTGTCTATTTTTGGCTAAGAGATAAAGTAAGGTTTATTGTTTTTTGTGTGTCCTGATGTTATGAAACATGTCTTTACATGTTAATTAGCATGCTAATAGGATTATGCTACTTCTATGGGGAGAGTAGTGATTATGGTTGCTTGCTGGATGCAACTATTTAGGGAGAGCATGATTGTCTGTCACACTTGTTTGGTGTTTTTACTGTTGCTGCTAATGCTGATGTAAGGCTGTTTTATCTTCTGATGTTGCTGCCTTTGACGTGTGAACTTGGATAGTTCATAATTAGTTCTCTGGATTTGGGTTTTCCCTTTGAGGGGGAGTCTTGATCACGTGTTACAAAGGGAGTTTCGTTCTGTCAGTGATGTTAGACCACATGTCTGAACATCTATCTTCTAGAGTTTTGAAGATGGTGATTTGTAACTGCATGCATTCTCTGATGTATATTTTTTTCGTAGTTTGTACAAAGTTTATATGTTTGCATGTAGATTATGTTGTGGTGTTATTCCTCTCTCTAGGGTTATCGTGCATTGGTTGTTTTAGAAAAAATTTGCCATCATGGGAGATTGTTAGATCCATGGTTTTAGAATTGACAACAATTTTTAGCAAGATGATATAACATCTTGATCACACTGATACAAAAGAGTGTGAGCTTTCATTGAAGACATATGTTGTGACATGCAGAACTAGAACATCAGTACATGATGTTTTAAATCTTGAAAAATTTGATTGGATTTTATGATATTTCTATTGGATATATCTCAGTATATTTCACAGGCCAAGAAGATTTAATCTGGAATGAGTGATCCAATCTCCAGTTGTACATAAGTTTCTCAAATTAGATATTGAGACAATTTAGGAAACTTGATATTTTGTTCCAAGATTTAAGGATATTTTTCTGCATAATTGGTGAAGCCCTCAGCTTGTGGATTAAGAAATATTTGGGTGAAGATTTTGAATCCCATGGACTACTGAGGAGTATTTAAAGAGAAACCTAGACCTAATGTAATCTAACTTTCACAATTATAAAATTAGGGGAAGTCAAAATTCTTAGATTTTGAGAGTCTCTTGTGTTTTTGTAAGTCACCCATGTATCTTTTGATACAATGTGGTAGGATGATTATTACTTAATTGTTTGTCAATTTAATGTTATTGGTTGAAGCTTTTAAGAAAAACTAAGTATTGTTCTCACTCATGAGCTTTTATGCAAAGAGTTGAGTATTGTTTATTGGAAGTGTAATATTTTGGTTTTTAATTCTAGTAACTGGGATTGTGAATGTATTTTATCATTAAGGTGATTGGTAGGAAGTGAGAGGGGGATCTCATATCTAGATGGTGATTTCTAGGTATAAGTTACACAAGGTAGTGATTAGGCGAGAAGTTGTAAAGTGGAATTATTTAGGCTTTGAACTAATATTATCATAGTGAATATCCTTCTTAGCTTGGTAGCCCCCGGAGTAGGTGATGCTGCACCTAACTGGGTTCACAATCAGTTGTGTTATTTATCATTCTGCATTTATTTTATGCATAAGTTCTAGTTTTTATATATGTGTTCTGTCTGTGATCAAATTTCGTAACATCTGTCTAGGCATTATGTTTTGATGTTGAGACATCAATATTAACACGTGTTTCAAGTGCCAGAATTTTCATAATTCTTGGCACTTTAAATAAGGATAACATATAAAAGAGAATGTTATTCAACATAGAATTCAATAAAGTTACCTTACCACCAAGAGAAAGATTCTTGCCACGCCACGAGGATATCCTTTTTGTTAGCTTCAAAATAATTGGTAACCAAGTATCCTTCCTTATATGATTCACACCCACCAGAATACCAAGAAACATAAAGGGAAATCTCCCAATATCACAAGGTAAGAATACCGACGCCAAAGTAATAAAAAAATCATCATAAATATGATTACCAAAAAATTTGGTCTTATTAAAGTTGATACATAAACCAGAAGCCAATTCAAACCCTCTCAGTAACGCCTTAATACACCAAAAATTCTCCCAAGAGCCATCACAAATGATGACGTGTCATCAACAAATTAGAGCAACTCAAAATTAATAGTGTCAATGGAGTGAAAGCCTCTAAAGTATCTTAAAGTTACCGCATTCCCCATGAGCCCTGCCAAACCCTTCACGACCAACAAGAACAATAAGGGAGACAATGGGTCACTTTGTCTAAGACCTCCGGAAGCACTAAAATCCTCGGAGGGACTATAATTAACCGACACTGAGAGAGAACTAGAGAACACAATTCTCTCCATCCAAGACGTCCACTTTTGACCAAAACTTCTACCAAAAACATATTGAAACAACCGGCTCAAAATCATCAAAACAATGAAGTCACCATCGAACGTCTTTTATCCCACAGGAAGGGAAAGGTAAATATCGAGAAAACATGAGAAGGGTGAAATCAAGGTCGAACAACCAAGAGATAAGGGTAAGGGAGTCTGTTACGCGAGGGGAAGGTATTAGCACCCCACACGCCAGTAGTACTCTACGGTATCCACTCTTGTTATTTGTCTTATGGGTGTGTCTAATCTATGTTTATTGTTTATTACTGCTAAAGGGAGAATGTATGCAAAAGAAATAAGAAAAGAATGTAGGGAAAATAAAAGGTGTGCTTGCTTGGGCCGTACCCCAATGCCTACGTATCCCTTTTAAGGAATCAGAGCAGCCGTAGTTCGGCTCATGTTTTTGTTGGTTTATATTTTTTTACTGAACATTATTGATTTCGCTTTCTGCCGCAACTCGACCTTTGGAGACTTACGCGTCAGCACAGAAGTGAATTAACATATTCTTTCTGAAAAGTTTGGAGAAAATGTGCCTGGGCGCACAGAAATTTGAATTTGTTTGTATTTGTAGCGAATGATATTAATTTCGCCTTCTGCCGCAACTCGACCTTTGGAGACTTACGCGTCAGCACAGAAGTGAATTAATACGCTCTTTTGAAAAGGTTTTGAAAGAAAGGGCCCGAAGGCGAAAAAAGTTTGTATTGGTTGGTGTTTTTGCTTGTAGATAATAGCTAGTTAATCTCAAGAGAGAGATTTTAGTCATTTCTCCACTTATTTATGAAATGAGTCTTTGGGACTTGAACCATGCCAAGGCTTAGAATGGAAAAACGATAAGATCGAGAAGAGACCCGCTTATCATCTTCCATTTTCAACAAAGGCACGATTCTCGTCTGTAGCTTTAAAGTGTTTTGAATTTTGAAAGAAAAAGAAGTTTAGTTTTTTTGCTTTAAATGCATATGCAAAAAAAGGAAAGAAAAGTCAGAGGGAGACTAGCCTATTTCTAAACCTACTTTTATTATACTTCATACGACCTTTATGCAGAGACAAATGCAAGGTGGAAATAGAAAGAAAATATACCAAACGAGTACTAGCCCGTAGAGCAAAGGAAAAAAGTAAAGAGACCCGGTGATCTTGCGAGCTGCTAGCATCAACAAAGAAAAGAGTCAGAAATCCAATATTCAGAATGATTATTGAAGAATCATCGATATGAAAATAAATCACAATCGACATCTCGAGCGTGTCCATATAACGTACAATAAACCTGCATAAGACTCACATCTTGACGAGCAAAAGTGAATTACAAGTCTCAAGTAATCGAATAATCATGAATTAATTCCTAAAGGCAAAATAACAAAAAGAATATAACAAGTTCTTTACTTTTTATTTTATTTTATACCTTTGGTCACCAATTTTATTCCTAATGTTACTATCTAGAAACTAAGAAAAGAGGATTAAAAACAAACTAAATAACTCTAAATCGAGGAGTGTATGAAATTGGATAAGAGGTGCAAAAGGTAATGGGCAGGCCCAATCCACACAAAAAAAATCAGTCCACCAACATCTCCTTTTTTTTCTTTTTTATGAATTAACAATTGAAATAATAATTAAATAAAATGAATAATAATAAAAGAAAAAAAAAGAATCCAAAACAACGGCGTTTATTGTTACTAGGGCTCATAGCAAACGCCCTCCCCCCCCCAACTTATTCACGCAGAAGCTTTTCTTCTACACTCAAAAACAACAACGGCGATGCCTCCATGACTCTGTCCCTTCTCCTCTGTTCCGATTCAACCTTCTTGTTAACACAACCTAAAGTCTCCCTCTGAGTTCGAATCCTTTGCTGGCTTTCGTCAATTTCTCTTCCTCTATCCTGAATCTAACAACAAAACCTAAGCCCTAAATTGCCGCCGATCAAGATTACATGGTGGATATGGAGTGTAAGACCTGTATCCGTGGAGTTATCGTTCGCCACGCTTCACACTTCCCGGTTATGGTACAGACCAAACGAAAAAAAGTCATAAAAAGAAGTAGATTGAGGATTACCTATTGAAGACACGTCGGTGGTGCTTCAGAAATCCAGAGGTGAGGTAATACAATTGTTGTCCTTCTTGATCTTATTTGCTTCGTCTTGATCCTTTCATCATTGTCTTCACTCTTCTTTGGTTTTGTGATTGTGTGCGTTTGCATTGGAGAAGAGCGAAAATGATGACAATGATGAAGGTTATAGCAAGTTGAGAAAAATGAACTTTGTATGATGTTTAGAGAATTCAATTGGGAATCGAAGAGAGGTGAAGTTTCGAGAATTGGATAAAGGTCAAACAATGGAGAGTGAAGGTGAGGACGGAGTTTAGAGAGAGGGAATTGAAGATGATGGTTTCGGTGATTCTCCAGAAAAGTATTTGAAAAAAAATGATGGAGATTGATGAAGAGGAAGGTTTATATAGGTGGTTAGAATTGAGAAAGTTTTTTAGAGATTCAAGAAAATATCAGTCTCTGGATTCTGAGTTAGTTATGCAATTGGATTAAAAAAAAATATGTTAAAACAGTAGCCTATTACTAGAATGGTTAGAGGTTGGTTAAAATTAGTTATCTGCTTTGTAATTGGTTATGGGAAGAAGTAGTTATTGAGTCGGTTAGGAATTATGTTTTCCTTTGTTAGCAGTTCCTGTTATCACTGTTAGAGTTAGTTATAGAATTAGTCGTCAGTTAGAGGGTTTGTTTTACAGTGGCTGTCCATAGGTATTATCTTGGAAATATTAATTTGTTGTTGTTTTCCTATACAGGGTGAAGGTACTGTCTTAAAAATTTCATGAAGTTCAACTAGCCTTTCCCTTGAAGAATCTCTCACAGGGGAATGGAGCTCGCAACCAAGTATATGGCAAACAGAAAGGTTCCAAATGCTCTCATTTTCTCCATTGATTCGCTTCTTTGATCTTAATTCTCAACTTCAAAGCCTTAAGATCTCGAAGTTCCTTTTTTCTGTATTTCTATGAGAAACCTGTGATTGCGTGATTTGTTGCAAACGGTTTGGTTGTTGTTGTAAACTCATTTGCTGTTGTAATTGTGCAGGCTGAAATTGAATCTGTGGCATCAATTGCTGCCGTGGAGGTAATTTTGATTGTTGAGTCATTGGTGCTTGTTGTTGATACATGCAACGTAATCTTCCAATCTCTCTTTCCAGTACTTCCTGCTCCAAGTATTTGATAAGCTGCTCCTGTGCTAAACTTTCTAAATGTTGTTTGAGTTCTTTATTCTCCATACTCAGGATAAGATTCTGCTGGTTAAGAAACTCAAGCTCAGCCGATACTTCAGACCCTTCTGCCTGTAAAGACTGTACATTTCTTTCCAGCTCGGCTATGTACTGAAGTTTACAAACCTTTGATCGTTGAGCAAATTGTTGTTTAGCGCGTTTTGTATCTATTTCAGAAGCATATGACTTTGCATGTAAACCGTCCTTTCTTTCAAAAGATGATCTAGTGTCCTGTAAGACAGATTCTACTGAATCATGATTTTCTTTTGCAGTTGGTAGGATCCGATCTGCTTCATACAGTGTACATGGTGTCGGTGATCCTGATCTCTGAAAAGCTACACTGTCTTTGCAAGATGGAGCGCCACTCATATTCGGAAAAGAGTCCCATGATCTATTTTTCTGTCTTGCTGCATTCATTTATGAATACATGGGAACATGACGAGCATCTTTGTTTAGATCAAAATCTGAAGGTGACCAAGACAGAATAGATAAGAAATTCTTATATTTATAATCGTCATGATTCGCATAACTGATGTTCGGCGCATTAAGAGTGTCGACATATGCAAAAGAATCACTTGATGAACGCCTATGACCACCCTTTCTGACAGGTGTATCCGGCTCATTTAGAAGATCATCGAGCCATGATGGCTTCTCCTCAATAAGATGGCTCTCAGATGAAGTATGTTGGTGGTGTGTGTTTCCGTCTCTTGGCTTATTAACAGGTCTTGAACTAACTGTAGGATTTGAGACATAATCAGCATATGCTTGAGAAATACTAGGAAATGGGCTTTTTGGAGGGAGCAAAGCGTGAGCCTGCTTTCCAGGATACACAAAATTTCTGACACCCGATGAGCTCTTTGAGTTTGCCATAGAAGTCGGATCAATACCTTTGTAGATTGAAGATTCGAGATCCCTAAATGCAAATGGCACCAAAAGGGGCTTGAAATGAAAGCAAAGGTGTTAACTTTCTCTCTCTTATGTTAGGGTTTGTTTCTTCAACTACATGTCTCTTGTTGTTGAAGTTGTTGTGTTATTGCAGGTGTCGAATTGTTTGGGTAATGGCATGTCTTCTGGAAACACAATATCTACTTCAACAAAATAGTGAGCAACAAAAGTGTATGCTCTCACAGTATCTATGTGTTTAACTTCTACATGATGATTCCATATTAGATATGTCAACTTTGCTAGAAAATCAGGTGGTGTTGTCCTTCCAATAAGTGATGATACATTCTCAATCATTGTCTTCACCCATGTAATAATTGTGTACAGTGCTATAATAATAGCTCCCAATGGATTAATCCACCAATAGAACTTGACTGCCAACACAACAGTAGCTAATCCAACTTGGAAATAATTTGCCTACCAGACTCAATCAAAATCTGCAATCCCAAGGTTGCCATTACGGATGCAAAAACAATGATACCCACTGGTTTCATCCTTTTCTTTCCAATTGGATAGTGATAATGGTTTGGTGTAATCTTCTTGCTATTTTTGATGTACTTGAAATGATAATTTCAACGGTGACCTTTGATGTAATGATATCCTCTTCAATCAATTCTCTTCTTTCAATTTAGAATTCACATCTTCAAACCTCATTGATTTTTTTTGCCTTTTTCTCTTGGATTTCTACTTAAGAATTCTATCTTAAAAGTGCTTGAAAACCTTGAATGATATTGCATTATAGTCACTTGAACGGTGAATGACATTTGGGATTTTATGATCTTGAAGTTTGAAATAGCCTTGGACAATTCTTTGCATCATTATGCATGCTGATACTTGCTCTAAATATCAGATAACTTGCTTCTCAAGAACTCCACATGAATCCTTTTATAACCTTGCATGCTCGGTAAATAAACCAAAACCTGAATTCTCATGATATTTTCTCTTGAAATAATCTAAAGCAAACTCCGTGATCAGAATTCCACCTTCCTGAATGAAACCTGATTCGTGAAGAAGGTCCAACTGAATCTTCTTTCTAGAATAGGGTTATTGCCCACATGACTAGAGATTCAAGCGATGATTTCCTTCCTATTTTCCAAAGATATATCAGTTGAAACCATGATTATTCATGGACGATATCCCTTGCTAATAACCTTGCCTGATGATCACAACTTCCCAGAAGAACCTCTCTTGAATGGTGCATGACCAAAGGATGACGTTGAGCACAAGAAGATAATAAATTCCTGATTTAGTAGCCTTTTAGATGACCTCGTAGAACAACTTGGAAATGAACATAGGTATACAGAAAGAAATATGACCAAGCTGTCTATGACTTAGAAAACCTAATGAACCTCGGTTGATTAAATGCTGTCAAGCACAGACTTGGTAGAGAAATATTTTGATTCTTGTCTTGAATGTATCTAAATGAGTAATAACCCCTTAATCTTGAAGAGGATGAAACCGTCAATGAGCATAGGTTGCAACCCTAATTCCACATTTCACTGCTTGAAGAATAATCAGAAGGATCAGACTTTATTGGATACGAACACCTTATCCGTTGCGAAACCCTAATATCGCACAACCACTAAACTTTGAGCCTCGGGCGCTTTATTGAATGCAAATGTATGTTAATGACCTAATGGGATATATACAGATGAATGCAAGAGTTTAAGCCAGATCAAAGAAATTAGGAGGGAAAATTTTGGGGTGCAACACATATATAAGGAAACCCCAAGAAATACACTTATACGCCTTTTCAAAGTCCCCCTTCATAATCAAACATTTCTTCTTATTCCTCTTTGCAAAGTCGATCACCTCATTCAAAACAAAAACCCCATCCAACAATTGTCTCCCTTCTGTAAAATAAGATTGATTACAAGAGATCAATTTCTCGATAACCGTCGGGATTTTAGAAATAAGACGATACAAGCAACCAACCAAACAAATTGGTTTAAAATATTCAACACAATGAGAATTATCACCTTTCGAATTAATGCTAAAAAAGAAGCAATAATAACTTTGGAAAGCTTACCATGCTCATGAAAATCCTGAACAAATCTCACCACACAGTGTTTAACAAAACTCAAAACTTCTTTAGAAAAAATAGAGGAAAACCATCCGGCCTCAGAATATTATCACAATCACTTTGTCACATTGTTCTACCCCAATTTTCCCCCCTTAGATTCCTCTATCATCTCATACCATCACAATGCAACAAGATCGTGCATTAGGGTTTGGGTACTTCTTATACGATGTCTTATCTTTAAGTTTAATCTCGAGAGATCACCAAGCACCTTAAATCGTGAATCTTGTATATATGTGTTCTATATTCTACTGACCTCTAACCAAAATCAAAAAAATATGTTTTGTTTAATTTTGTTTCTTGTAAGATAGTGTTTGTGATCAAAAAATTCCGGTGATGGTTCTCTGCTTAGGGTTGTGGTTTGTTCAGGACAAAAATAGTTCCCAAAGGCCTATGTTTCAAAGTGGTAATCTATAATATTAGGTCACGTTATTTTTAAGTTTCAGTCAGCTTGATTAAGGCAAGTTTGGTTTCTTAATTCTCGAAATTCTTCGAGATAGGTTCATGTGTTTATTTCCATGCCTTCTTTGACGAATAATCTCAAGTTCAGATGGGTGTGGGCATGATTTAAACAATACTTCTTTATTTCAAGTCCATGTGTGATTAAGAGTGCTTCGGGTTGTGAAGAAAGACAAATTCTACAGTTAATTCAAAGTTGACGGACCAAAAGTCAACATTTGCAAGTTTGAGTTCAAAAGATCATAACTTCTTCATTGTTCAGTATTTTTGAGTGATTCTTCGAGCGTATAAATCTCCTTGACATTATCTCCAAATTCTCTAAAAAATTATAAAAAATAATTCTTTTCTCATCTCCAGATCTATTTTTATACAACATTTATAGCCAAAATACACAAATTTTCAAAGAGGTTCCTGCGGAGTACCGTAGATGTTTAGGATACTAATACCTTCCCTTTGCATAACCAATCCCCGAACTTAGATTCTCTCCCTTTTTTTGGGTTATTCTCTCTTTTCCCATTCCTTTGGAAACAATAAAGCGCGGTGGTGATTTTCATTTGATATGTGCGAGGCAAGTCAATCCAATGGCTTAGACTCAATATTTCTACCACTACAGAAAAATGGCGACTTCATTGGGGACAGATCGACCAAATGCTGGTCCATCTCTAAGTGGGTTGAACCTTTCTTTGTTTATCTATGTATGTGCTTTTGTTTGTTGTATATATGTTTGTCTGGATTTTCCTGGTTTTCAGGGTGCTTGGTGATTTCTCATAAGTCCTCTATCCAGACTTAGGAAAACTTAAGATCGGACAGGCGGTATATTCATGTTAACTTTGAGGGAGTAATCCTAAAAAAGGAGGCATGAGATCCCCATCTCAGTGGAGGCCCCTTTGATTGTAGTGTCGTTTACCGAGTAATCATGAAGACAGACTGCTTTTGACTTGGGAGCCTGCTGAAACTGAGGACCGTAGAACCCTTAAACCATCTTGGCCTTTTAGGTGTACTGCGGAAGCTACGATGGAGTAATTCGGAAATGGTTGTCACCCGATACTATGCTTGGACGAGTTTTTCCTGAGAATATTGCTAATTACTGAGTCAATCGGGATGTTGGTAATATCCGAAGGAAGGATGTAGACTCTGGGAACCTCTTAGAACCTTGTTTGGCAGGTGGCAAACTTTTAGACCATACCTTGTGGGTAGTACCTTTGGCCTCACGCTCATGATGTCGAACCTATGAACCCCCCATGTTTGTGATCTTGTGTGTGATTTCCGCATCATGCATTTATGCACCCATGAGTATCCTTTAAAACATTTTGTTTCAATGAACTTAAAGTTGACTCTTTGTGAATATCTCAGGTACTTTTTGACCATGATTTCTGGAAAAAGAAAGACTCAGAAGTACCGTTTCAAGGATCCCAAGATAGATGATTTGATGAGTCTGATTCCCGAGATCGAGAGTTCTATAGATTTTCAGAGGAAGTATGGGTCCATTGTGTCTCTTATGAAGCTCAGGATGAAGGAAGGTATTCTCTCGACTTTGGTCCCGTTCTATGATCTGATGTATCGATGCTTTACTTTCCCTGATTATCAGTTGATGCCTACATTGGATAAGTATTCTTATCTATTGAGTTTACCTGTTACCGACCGTTAGGGGTGTTCAAATCCAAACCAATCCAAATAAAAAACCGAAAACCGATCCAAAAAACCGAAAACCATAAAAAAACCGAAAGTTATTGGTTGTGTTTGGATGTTATTTTATGAAAACCGATCGGTTCGGATTGGATTTCGGATGAATTTTTCAAAACCGATCCAAATCAAACCGAACTGCATAAATATATTTTGATACTTATTTACTTTTTATTAGTATGATATGTTATGTGAATTTATTATTAGATGATAATAATTTTTTTAATAATATTTATTAGTTTGGTATAATCTATTTATTTTTATTATTTCAAGCATAATCAATCACTCTCATTTTGTAATATTAACTTTTAATATAGTATATGTTATATATTATATCAAATCTATGATTTATTAGTAGTTTTATAATATTAATAAAAATATAATGTGTAATTTGGATATCCAAAAACCGATCCAAATTAAACCGCATAAAATTGGATCGGATCAGATTGGATTTTTTTAAATATATCATCCAAAACCGAACCGAACCTTTAGTGAATTAATCTTTGGATCAGATGAGTTTTTGCTTTAAAACCGATCCAAACCGAACCGCGAACACCCCTATCGACCGTGTTCCTTTCACTGGTTTGGAGGGGGGCCAAAGTCCCATGAGATAGTTATTATGGTCCATTTGGGGAAGTCTGAAATTGAGGCCCACGTGACTATCAAAGGAGGGATCATAGGCTTACCTTCTCAATTTTTATTGGAG